GGTCAGAGCCTCTATTTACACCATGAGGTGTATCATGAGATCTGATTGGTCAGAGCCTCTATTAACACCATGAGGTGTATCATGAGATATGATTGGTCAGAGCCTCTATTTACAACATGGTGTGTATCATGAGATATGATTGGTTAGAGCCTCTATTTACACCATGAGGTTTATCATGAGATCTGATTGGTCAGAGCCTCTATTTACACCATGAGGTGTATCATGAGATATGATTGGTCAGAGCCTCTATTTACACCATGAGGTGTATCATGAGATATGATTGGTCAGAGCCTCTATTTACACCATGAGGTGTATCATGAGATCTGATTGGTCAGAGCCTCTATTTACACCATGAGGTGTATCATGAGATCTGATTGGTCAGAGCCTCTATTTACACCATGGTGTGTATCATGAGATCTGATAGGTCAGAGCCTCTATTAACACCATGGTGTGTATCATGAGATCTGATTGGTCAGAGCCTCTATTTACTCCATGAGGTGTATCATGAGATCTGATTGGTCAGAGCCTCTATTTACACCATGGTGTGTATCATGAGATTTGATTGGTCAGAGCCTCTGTTTACAACATGGTGTGTATCATGAGATCTGATTGGTCAGAGCCTCTATTTACTCCATGAGGTGTATCATGAGATATGATTGGTCAGAGCCTCTATTAACACCATGGTGTGTATCATGAGATCTGATTGGTCAGAGCCTCTATTTACAACATGGTGTGTATCATGAGATCTGATTGGTCAGAGCCTCTATTTACACCATGGTGTGTATCATGAGATCTGATAGGTCAGAGCCTCTATTAACACCATGGTGTGTATCATGAGATCTGATTGGTCAGAGCCTCTATTTACACCATGAGGTGTATCATGAGATCTGATTGGTCAGAGCCTCTATTTACAACATGGTGTGTATCATGAGATCTGATTGGTCAGAGCCTCTATTTACACCATGGTGTGTATCATGAGATCTGATAGGTCAGAGCCTCTATTTACAACATGGTGTGTATCATGAGATATGATTGGTCAGAGCCTCTATTTACACCATGAGGTGTATAATGAGATCTGATTGGTCAGAGCCTCTATTTACACCATGGTGTGTATCATGAGATCTGATAGGTCAGAGCCTCTATTAACACCATGGTGTGTATCATGAGATCTGATTGGTCAGAGCCTCTATTTACACCATGAGGTGTGTCATGAGATCTGATTGGTCAGAGCCTCTATTTACAACATGGTGTGTATCATGAGATCTGATTAGGTCAGAGCCTCTATTTACACCATGGTATGTATCATGAGATCTGATTGGTCAGATCCTCTATTTACACCAGATTTTACAGATTGATTCCATCATACGTTATAAACACAATACAGCATGTTCTATGTTTTATTTGTGATTAAACAACTCAACATTAAAAAAACACAATATTCTAATACTATATGGTGAAAATTTGTATGAACTATAAACAAAGTGGAAAAGGGTTACACTCCAGTTGACATTCTACAAAAATTAGTAGGGTTGTAAATTACAGCGACCATCTCCATTCAGGCTTATTCAATTCAGTGTTTTTGTTCCATCTGGGGTTCCATTCCTTATGTTCCCAGTTGGTGTTCACGTTAATGGTCTCGTACCAGTAATCCCCCTCATTGCACATAGGCCAGGTTGATTCTTGGAACCACTGTGGGTGCCAGATGAAACCCCACCAGTTCTTCTCGCAGTTGGAATAATGGTTGGTCTTTGGGCGCTTGTTGATGTGATGGTTGTAGTTCCAGTCTTGGTTCAGTGGGTAGATGACTTCATCGTGGAACCAAGTGTCATGGTGCTCTTTGTTCATCCACCATGGCTCGTTACCTAGGAAATCAGAAGATACAAGTGGATAAATTATTTGTTATATGTCCTAAAGATCAGAAGGAAACCCATTGTATGCAAAAGCCAAAACTGATTGATTAATACACTATTTGTATGTCTGTGTATATAATTATGATTCTTTTACAACCAGTATAGGTGTGAAAAAGGACCTCGCTGACTATTTACCCCAGAGATCAAAATGGTCATATTCCCACTCATTTGGTGTGTATTTCCTCTCTTCTGTGGTCCAGTGGTAATCATGACTCCAGGCTGGTGCATGGGTGATCTCCTCACATGGAATGCATTCACAGGCAGTTGGGATCATCACAGGGTGTAAATAACCGTATCCAGTGTCGCAAGTGAATTCAACCATCTTACGGATGAAGCGGGTTGGACGGCTGCAATACAAATCAAATATATTATGCATTTTTCAAACGATTCACAGCATCATTAGTATTAAACTAATTAACATGCCAATGATATCTATACTAGGTATGTTGTCATGGCAACATTTTGTTATTGTACTGACCTGCACATTGGAATCTTTACATTGTATTTGTATCCATGACGACCAAGCCAAATAGTCTTGGGTTCTGGATTTCCTCTACAGGTGATGTCCTTGACAATGGCGTTACAACGTCCGTCATGATGGTGGATTACGTTGGTTAGTGTCTCACCGTGACAGATTTCGTCAATATTCTCCCACCATTTGTCTGAAATTGTACAAAATTGATATTGTTTCGATTCTTGGTAACTGATATTGGGAAATAGGTAAGCAAAAATAGCCAGAAAAACATTTTTTTCAATGTTTTCAGAAAGCGTTTTTCATTTTTTGTCTGACAGTGATTCTGACAAATAGTTTTGTAAGGCTGTCAGTAATTTTCACTACCGGTACTTCAAAACTGTTTAGTTACCCATCATGCATCACTGATTACTTGTTGATATTGTATTGTTTATTCCAAGACTGCGCCGAATGAAATGGACATTACCACGAAGCAAGATTTGAAGAATTAGAAATCATTAACTTACGAGAAATTGGTTTAATGAGGGACTCCATGGAGCGCAGGAACATTGGTCCAAGCCAGGTTTGATAGGTCTGGTTGATGAGATTGATTGGGTAAAGATGTTTGGTGTGAATGTTTTCAAATACGCTGTGTTCACCGAACATCTCAAAGCGGTATTCATTATGGCTTGAGGAATCGTATATCTTCTGTGCGAGTAAAAGAGCCTTGGTCACATTCCAGCGCCAGCTACCTGGATTAGGAAAAACAAAAAAAAAGCTTCTTAATAAAAGGTATACAAATAACATATTATTCAATATTTCCTGCCAATGTGGTACTTGTCTCAGCAACTTTGGTGAAATAGCTTGAAAAATCCTTTGCTTTCATATCCAGGATAGTTCAAATCTCGTCTAATCTTGGCAGTTTAATAAACAATTTTTTGTTCACTGCGGGATCCCACCTTATGCGGGAAACCAAACATAAAAACGGGACAAACAAAGATCATAGCATCATACTGACGTCAAAATTGGATTCAACAAACGCAAACGTATTTTATTTCTAACCTAATAATGTGCTATCCTCGGGGGCGGACATCCGGGCATTTTCATCGCCTGGCAACCTGCGGCAGTGAAAACAAAGGCCCAAAACTCGCATAAAACGGTACTTTGGGATGATTGTTGAGACTCCTCTGAACAGTGCAACAAAATTAGCCCTACGTGTGTAACATATATAAATTTGGTTGTTCGGGAATACTTCAAAGTTGAGTTTGTGTTGTATTCTCGAATTTTCACCGGCTCGACCGGCGTTCCACAGCAGCGCGCACAGAGCCCATAGAAATGCATGGTACAGTGGTGCGCGTCTTAGCAACATGGAACGTCTGTGACGTAGCTTCGCCCCTAAGGATACACATTTGATGATAGTCAATTTTGCCGAAGCAATATTCCTCTCTGAAAGCTCGGCAATTCAAAATTCAAGTCATTGGATTTTTGTAGCAGATGTTCTTACCATGCCTTTCAAGCATTTTGTACTGAAAAGAAGATCACCAATCAAACATATTTTTTGATTGTAACTTGCACATACAAAAAAAAAATGTCAGGAGAGACAACAGTGACATTCAATATCCAGAACTGTCGCCGGGCACAAAAACATTTAAAAAAAAAAAAAAAAATATTTTTTGATTATTAGAATCATGATATGCTACACAAATAGGTTATATTTTCGACAAATAGGTTATTTTTTATGGGTCAGTGAGGTTTCTAATGCTAAATAAAATTTCTTTCTTATATGATTAGATGACCTACAAAGATAAAGAAAGTGGTAAATGTACAGCGACAGCTGTCTGCTAAATTTCGTTTGAGTGCATCAATTTACCTGTCTTGGCGTATGAAGTGACAAGAGTTGGGAACGGTACACGCCCATAGTTGCATTCACGGATGCTCTCATGGTTGACATAGTTGATGACCTTGCCAGTTGGGCAGACCAAGACAAAGTCTTGTGGGATCATGTCAATGTCTTTGACGTATGGCTCGAATTTGTGTGACTCGATGAAAGCAATATCTCCTTTATGTTCGTGTATGCATCGGAGGCTTCCCAGGGTTCCCCAGTATGGTTCCTCGGTTCCTTCTTTGCAGTTCCACTCATTGTAGCCACCGCAGCTAGTGCATAGCTCTTCCTGGTGCATCTGTAAGAATGAAGACTCGAAATGATCAGAAAACTTCTCACTGACAGACTACTTGAAAAAAACTCAGTCGATCACAACATTCTTTATTATAAGCGGACGACACTATTTTTCTATATCCCAACTGTATAAAAATGAATATATTGCAAGCTTTTTACTAATCTGATGATGTAATTTCTAGTGGTATCTTTTCCTACCTTCATGGTCTTCTGATATTCATTCCATTCAGGTGAAAGCCAGATTGGGTTGGTGTATCGGTTATAAGTGTCCTTTGTCATTGGTACCCATTCCATTTGGTCGGCATAGTTGATCCAGCGTTTCACAAGCATTGGGTAGTAAACCTTCAGGTAGTTCTGATTGATAAAACAAAAGAATGTCATAAATTGTCGGAAATGATGTTTTGAAAATAGATGGAGAGATTCATTCATGTGTAACATTCCATACTATTACAGATCCATTATTTTATTAGGCAATTGTTTCTAAATTATAAATTATAAACATGAAAAAATAATGTTTTCTTATATGAACAGAGTTGATTTTCGCTAATAAAATTTTAATATGTATTAATGATGAAATGTTCATATTAAGTATGGATAATATAGTTACCATGACGATTGGGTGGTTCATCCATTTGAATTCAATATTATCACTGAAACCATTGTGTGTAATCTTTTCTAACTCAATCAAGAATTTCTCAATCTCTGGAATCTTTTCCAACATGTATTCTGGAACGGTTCGGATGTTATCCTTGAAGAGATTCCAAATAGTCCAGTCAAATCTACGAGATCAAACAGAATTTGGATTTAACCATATCCAATAAGGTGGAAGATTTAAAGATGAACACAAGCAAATAACGATAACCAATATGTCACTTGAACCTTTACGTGATTAGATGCATCCACATGCAGGCAACCCAGCAGTCAACTGAGCCTAATATACTGTGGAATACTTTATTTTCGCTGAAATTAATTTTCGCTGAAAAGACTTTTTGGACGTTTTGCTTGGAATTTATTTTCACTGATTTTTGATGAGTTTAATGTGGAATATAGAAAAAAAAGTATATTCACTGGATTTTATTTTTACGGAATCATCCCTTCACGAAAATAAATGCCAAGCGAAAGTATTTTACAGTAGTGTAGTTTGCTCATCTGATCAAAAATATATTTTCGAAAATTCAGTTTATTAAAACTTGTTTTCATTGATGGATGAATGTGGGGCCGCTTCTTCATCACATAAAGCAATGGTGCATCTAATATAAAATAAAGATCATTACTGTACTGACTGCTGTACTAGAAGTGAATTCTTTTGGGATTGCAAATGTACTCTATCTGGGATGCGGATCTGTATAAGCATAACAACTTATTTTTATTCTCTTACTTTGGCATATCCTTGATTCCTTCCTTCTTTTGACTCTTCATGTTCTTGAAGAATTTGTTCCAGATATTGGAGATGTCTACTTTCTTGATTTCATCTTCGGTGTCCCATTGCCATCCTTCCTCAGTTGAAGTTTTTTTCCATTCCTTCTTTGTTTTCAGAATGGATTCTGGGTTTTCTACCCAGGTGTTGATATTCTTCCAGGTGTTGATGTAGCTATGGAGGAAACCGAAGATGGTTTGGATGGCAGTGTGTTAAAAACAACCCTGAACTAACTTCCCAGAAACTGATTCAATCTTATTAGTCATTATACACAAATTACCATAGAAACAACTATCTATATTTGCACATCAACACACCATATATGTAGAATAAATTACCATACAAAACAACTATCTATATTTGCACATCAACACACCATATATGTAGAATAAATTATCATACAAAACAACTATCTATATTTGCACATCAACACACCATATATGTAGAATAAATTACCATACAAAACATATATCTATGTTTAGACATCAAAACACCATATATAGAAAAAAATTACCATATGAAACAAATATCTATATTTGCACATCAACACACCATATATGTAGAATAAATTACCATACAAAACAACTATCTATATTTAGACATCAAAACACCATATATGTAGAATAAATTACCATACAAAACAACTATCTATATTTAGACATCAAAACACCATATATGTAGAATAATTTACCATACAAAACAACTATCTATATTTGCACATCAACACACCATATATGTAGAATAAATTACCATACAAAACAACTACATGTATCTATATTTGCACATCAACACACCATATATGTAGAATAAATTACCATACAAAACAACTATCTATATTTGCACATCAACACACCATATATGTAGAATAAATTACCATACAAAACAACTATCTATATTTGCACATCAACACACTATATATGTAGAATAAATTACCATACAAAACAACTATCTATATTTAGACATCAACACACCATATATAGAAAAAAATTACCATATGAAACATATATCTATATTTAGACATCAAAACACCATATATTGAAATAAATTACCATATAAAACACAGATCTATATTTGGACATCAACACACTGTTTATAGGGTTGAATTACCTTGGGGTCTGGTGATTCCAGTTGAAGTAATTCCATGTATGTGGTACATTCCATACAAACCATTCCATGCCAGTGAAATTGTAGAATGACACGCCATGATATCCCCAGTTGTATTGGTGACCGAGAATGATATCTTTCTTCATGTTCCAGTCCTTTGAACCTGTTATTGTAAGGCGATCAAGAATTGATAAAGGGTGTGTACACTATGATACATGTAATCGAGATCCTACTGAAATCTTTTGTGATTCTGCAGATTACGAGATCTCATTGGACAGTACCTCGGCAGTACTACCACAATAGGTGTTTTGCCAGAAAAGTTACATCTTGACAAATTTTCTGATTATTATATAATTTGTATAGGTCCATGTACATATATAGGTTATGCAGACCCGGGTCATCATAATTTGGGTTTGTATATCGTGTAGGTATGTTGTTTATCACCTTTAACCTTTTCACAACCAGTTCCCTCTTTTAATCAAAAATTCACAAAATAGTACCATCTGTAGTTTGCACTTTTTTTACAAGATTGTGACAAAAAAGCAAAATGTTTTGAGTAAAAACTGAAAACAATTACTCAAATTTTATCTGTTGGCTACAAAATTGAAGAATATACAAAATAAAGTGCAGACAAATTTGAGTGAGAAACTCTGGTGTTCATCCATGTATACATAAACACACTCACCTGGTAAGCAAGTACGGTCAAAGAATTTGTTGATAGATTCGAAGACTGAGCCGTAATGGGGGATGGTGCCATTGGAGTGTAGCCAACCAATTGGATGATGGACAGAGGAAACCTACAGGAAGATCAACAATAGAAAATGTCTTCTTGAGAAATGTGATGCAGTAATACATACATCTTACTGACCATACAGGGTCATCTTGCTGAACAAGCGCCATGTACGCAAGTTTGGACAGTTCAGATAGATATAAGTCGATATAAATCATGATATTTACAAACTGACGTGAACATTAACTGGTATGTTGAAACGCATAATCACAATATCGCGTGATATCTTTGGGCTATGACTTAGGGTAGATGCTTTCCAAAGTGTTGGAAACTGTACATTACATATGCATACAGATTTATAAGCAATTTTAGAGCCTATGAGCCGTACAAGGGTTGGCTAGACTAGCTAAAATGGTTTTCTGTCTGTCCATTGCTCTCCCATCAACCAATAGAAACAATTTGTGCATCTAGTACATGCCAACATGTAAATCACTATCACTATACAATGCTATTTACCATAGTAACATATTTATGTATATCACGAACATTTAGATAAATGTCCTTTATCTAGAAACTAAAAATAACATTTGATATTTAAAATATGAGAGTAATGACTTACTCTGGAAATACCAGCGTGGCAGGTGTTCAGTCCCTTCAGGTTAATCCACTCATTGTCGTATCCAAACTTGTTCTGGTAAACATTCTTCTTCATAATTCCAATAGTGTAAGTCTCGGTGTCCCAGTTGTAAGACCATTTGCCATCTATTGGCTGTGTGGCAGAAAAATAGCAATAAGTCAATTCAACCGCAGGTTTATAGGTTATTGACATTTTTTTCTTGGTATTTCGATTTGAAAACTACAGTAACCTTCACAACAACCTGTTGTTCCGGTACTTACTACAACTTTTTTGAAATTACTGCACATATCAGCAGAATTCATGTCTGAAACTATTTTACTTAGTGCTGTTTTCTTCTATGAAAATGTTGACCATTAATAGCATTCTTCTTTGAAACTACTTGCTAATATCTTCTTAAATACTGATGTATGCTATCAGTGTCCGTTTGAAAAACTATTACTACCAACTGTTTTGACAGCATTGAACTATTCCTTTTCTGAAACTACTTTCCTGTTACTACTCGTCTATGTACATATAAGCATCCTTTTCCAAAAATGTTATCTAGATCTGTAGTAATAGCAAATCATGCCCATTTGGTTTAAAAGTATCAACAATTTATACATAAGAATGGGCAAAAGGTTGTACCAAACTTTTTTCGAAAAAATTATAATGCTGAAAGGGAAAACATTCTGCATATATTACCTCATGGAAAACATCAAAGTATTCACTCATGAATGGGGTCATTTGGAAGTCGTTTCCAGCAATAAAAGTTTCCATTGGGTCCAGAGACACAACATCAGCCTTGCCTTCCCAGATAGCCTTCATGCAATCCATCTTGGTTGGTAACTTCATGCAACCCCAGCTAACTTCGTTGACCTAAGAAATTATTTAAACATCAAAAATATTTTCATGATTGGAAATATCACTGAAATGGTCAAAGCTGTTAAAAATCGTGTCATAATTTGCATTTAACATATTCACATCGTAGAAAGGTATGTATATATAAATGTTTTTTGACTCCAAATATGGGAATGATTATTATCACATGCATAAATTTATATACCATATTTGGCATTTACATTTGGTCATGTGACTCAGAATGCTTAATTTACATATTGATATGGTAATTACCTTCATGGTAGAAGTGAAGTATCTCTTCATTTCTGTACATTTGTTGTAAGCTTCATCAGTGATTACACAGAACTTTGCACGTGGTTTTGGTTCCATGGATTGGCAGGTGTTCATCACACTGATGTACTTGTGCATGTAATTCTTTTCTTCTGGGATTGTGACAAATTCACGGGTGTTGTCACGGAAGATAATGTCTTTTGGATCAGAGTTGTCTGAGCAGATGTATTCATCGGAGCTGAATATGTCCATGTTATTCATGTTTGAATAAGTCTGTATTACAAAAAACAACAACAGATAAACACTCAAATAAAATCGAGCTTTGTTATACCCTGTGCGAATTTAGCACAGAATCAACGGGAAAGACAAATTGACTATATTAATGGGGAGACTATCAGCCGAGGTTGCGATAATTGAAATGATTATCAAATACTTTAAAGTAAGCTTACTTGCACGGCAGAAAATAACATATCATTGAAGTCACGGATATAATTGTAAGTCTTGTCCATGTGTGTGAAGATAGTTGGGCGTGGAGTGTATCCAAGATGACAATCCTCGTTATGCCAGTCATCCAAATCAGTGGTACCATGGTTACAGACAAGCTTGTAATCAGTTCCTAGAAAACAAAACATGACGATAAATCAGTTGTTGCGATGAATATAAAGAATGGATAGAATGTTAGAGTATGCTTTCTTATTTATAAGACTTTTAATCTCTTGTTACATCAAATATTTATGCATAGAAAATATAATACAAAATCGCCAAACTATCCAAGACAAAGTTACATGTACTAAGATCATTTGTACAAAGACGATAGAGGGCGCTTAGATTAATATCGCAAACAGCGCCCTCGTTCGACATACTTACCAAAGATGTTTTTGAATGCAGAGATGTAGTTGTTGTCAATGAAAACAACATGACCTTTGCCCTCTTTCAAGCACATGGAGGCACCGTAGTAACCGGAATACACATCCCTGTTCTTGTGGCACCAGCTGTTGTCTTCTTTGCGTCCACCGCAGATCTCGCAGAGCGTCTCGGGGTTGGTGCCATTGATGTCGTAGTTCCAGTCAAGTACACCTGGAATAGCACACAGTGACATTGTGTTCAATTTATGTGTGCTATGTAAACATACCTATTGATTGCCATAAATTATGCAAACATTAAAGACTACTTAGAGGAGGTCGCTAAAATAAATTTAATTTTTTGTGAAGAGTGGGTTTCTATGTCTACTTCGATGCTAACATAGTCAATGTAAACACACCTGGTACGCAGCTCTTCTTGAAATATTGAGCAGCAGATTCAACCATGTTGCCTTGGTGAGGGATGACGTTTTTGTGAATCATGGAGCACATTGGTGCGGTCCAGGAACTCGTGTAATCGACGCCGGCGTGACAAGATTTCTTGTTTTCCAGATCGCTCCACTGGTTGATGGGAGATGATTTTGGTACCACGGCAATGCTGATGCTTTCCCAATTTTCAAATTTCTTTGGTCCCTGTTTAGAAAAAACAAGCATAAGATGAACTAATCATATAATACAAAGACATCGGAATTCTAAATCTGTCAAATCTGGCCCATCCATTATTATTTAATGACTGATGTATTCTATCATGAGTAAGTCACCGTGGTGTGATTTTGCATCAGTCGTGAACATTGACACGCGGTGGCGCATTTTCTAGATTGCCCAGTTAGACTTCGGAACTGGGTAAGACCCACATTTGATTCCCCTTAATCTAGTAAATTATTCAAAATATATGCAAATGTTATATTTGTTACTGTCCGTCATTTCTTTTCGATCAGTGGCGGATCCAGCAAAATGTATTGGGGGGGGGGGGTCCAAGCTTTGCTTAAGATATACGGAGCGTAAATCGCAGAGAAGTTATGCGTAATCCAGATGATATGAATTGTCATGCGTTTGGGGGGCCATGGCTCCCTGGCCTCCTCTGGGTCCGCCACTGTTTTCAATCACACAAAATTATACGGTTCAAACGGTTATAAAATACGCTAATAGCGCCACCATACGACGACGCCCACTCATACCTTGTATTCGGACATTTCATAAGCGACAGGTTTCAAATTGTGAACGGTGTGTGCTCTCCATACATCATTCTCGCGGGTAACAATGACGTCACTGTATCCATTCTCAACCCTAGATATAAAAAAAAATCTGTTATATAAATTGTCCGTGAATTTAAAAACTAGTAAAATACAAAATCCATCTTTATATGGCTAATTATGAAATTTGACTGTTTCGTTAATAGGTACGTTTCAAAAGGTCAAATGTCAAAAAAGCTGGAGAAAACATTATTGTAAGAGTTGCTTCACCTTTACAAGTCCCAGAAATATAGCAATACACGTGGGTGGTGAGATTGCACGATGACGCAGCTTATCGAGAGAACAATTACAACTCGGATACTAAATTAGACATCATTATATTTGCATAAATTCGACGCAGTTGGTCTTTGACCTTTGACCCTTGTGTTAAGGTTGTCGACTTACCAGTCGAGACAGTGCTCTATACATGTACCTTCCATACATACGATATCCTTTCTCGGGGAGACATTGTACATCCACTCATTGGCCATGCGAAGACATTTCTTCATCTCGCATTCTGATGGTACACACCAACGAATGGTATCATCATTGGAAGGAATGACTTCCTTGGGTGGGCTCCAGAGATCAACTTTGGCCCAGCACCCTGTATAATTATATAACGTGTTAAAAGACTATGAGTCCCCTGTGCGTTTAGCTTTCATTTTAATTTTTAATTGATTTGGAAAAGTTGACTGGGCTTAGACCGAAGTTAGAAATAGTTTTACTAATAAGAGATTGGTATTAATCGAATATATGGGAACCCGGATTATGATGAATGTTTTTTATGGATACAAATAAAAACATACATATATCTACCATGTAGACTTTCTATGTTTTAAGAAGTATGTTTCTCCATGCTGCTTTTTCGCCCAATCTCAGTTGTGATGTAAACTGAGATTAAAATCTTTAAATTGGCCAAATTCCAATGACCTTTGACTATGTTTTGACATTTCCCCTGCAAATACCCGTACATGTATATGTCAGTGACCAACGATTGAAACTCTGGACGCGTTAGAAGCGCCCTCTGTCGTCCATGTTTTTTTTCGGCAGAGGGCGCAATTTAGACTAAACGATGTCATGTATGTCGGAAAGCCAATCAGTTTAATCTCAGACAACCAATAAATAGTTGTCTATGGTTTAATCATTCCGATTATCTTAATCTTTGGGGTCAAGTATGGGATCAATCCAGCGACCAAGACTTAGTTTATCGGGGATTATATCAGCATTTTAATCTAAGAAGGATTGTCAGTAGAATTCGAGATTGGATCATATTAATCATCGACAATCGAATTGTTAAACTGAAAGTCGGTTCAGTCGTCATCAATGCCTACCCCCGGTACCCATTCGTGACGAGTTAGATATGCTCGCTGCTGATGTAGGCGGCTTGATGGAATACCGGGATGATTATTTACGCAGGTTGGATATGCACATAATTATATTCTAAAATTTGTAATAATAAGTGACAAGTGGAAAATCCTAATAGTGCACCACTGTGAGTTGATAACTTGAGGCGAATCTCAATATACATTCCAATCAATCAGAGAGCAGCTTGTTTTTTGACAATTTTTTTTCTCGACGGATCATATTCTATCTTGTAAATATACTTCGACTCAAAGTGCGACAAGGAGTTGATTACACCGTGACCTCAGGTGAACTTATTTTTGCTGGGTTCGATCACGTGACCTTGCACTCAAAGGGCATGTCGCGGCGTCACGCACTAATTACTCATTGTCTTGTCAAAGTCCAAACAAATAACTAAAAATAATTAAACCGGGTTACAACAAATATTATTAATGCGTTTTTATCATAACGGTATTGACACTCTGTAATGGAATAACGCGAGAATTTGATTGAGATAAAGCGAGATCACGAACGCTCAAGCTGGGCACAGACTCGTAATTTTCACATCACAATTGGAAATAGCCCCGAGTACACCCTGTGTAGGGTGATGTAGCGGCCGGAACATGTACACAGAGCTAAATTGGAAATCGGCCAAGCGACGCATGGACGGATAGCCACGTTTTTCTAAGGGATTCTCCGCTAGTACTTATTCCGGTTTGTTTTTATTATTTATCATTGCACCAAACTAACATATCCGTTTACACATTTTTGAGCTGAATTCTTTTAAAAAAGCAGTCGACAATTGTAAATGAAAAGCGAAGCGAAAATTTTATTGGGTTAGTTTTGAGTGTGAATATGTCAGCTTCTAATTCGGGATGTTTTTGTGTTGTTCAAGTTTACCAACTTGACGATGCTAATCCACACATAATACTTGTTCTAGCAGTTATTAGTGTTGAGATTGCAACTTAATAATTCTGTGTAGAATGTGTATGTTAATTAGTCTGTTGTTTTCTGTTGTTTCGAGGGTCCTCGCCGCAACCTTTTGGAATTGGCAACTACGAAAAATTAGGATATTCAGATTAACTAGTCGATGCTATATTCATCAGCCAATCAACGCCACGGACACCACCGCACTGACCGCAAAGGAGAAATCAATTCCAACAACAAGTGAACAGACCAAATGTGGCGCAAAACCAGTAATGTTGCTCATCTACTGCATATTTATGCTCACACACCTCTATTTTTCTCAGGATACATCGCAATTATCCGTTTTTACAAGCAATGCCACCCTCCGACTTCCAACGAAAACCGATATTTTTTTTTTATTCTAAACTATGTCACGTGATATGTCACGTGTGTATTCTGAAGATATTAATCGTCAAAATATGATGAAATTTAAACTTCAAATTGACTATCATTTGAGATAGGTCAGTATTATTAGCCCTGTTCGGAAACAAATTGATGAATGATTGCTTGCTGCAATTATAATAGTGAGGGGCAGATAACCTGCTCAGAATAATCGTTGACAAAATTCCAACACAATCCACTACAACTTTAAATACAAATGAAGTAGTCAATAAAACACTCACAGCCTGAGTACCGTATCATTGTATAATATAATCTTTGTACGTACAAGTTATTCAGAAAAAAGGCCGGGCCATAAATAAAGTGGCGTGATTTTTTTGTGACAACAAATGGTTGTAATTCTATAAATCATAACAGGTGTTTTTTTTCAGACGAAGTAGTAAAATAATAAACGCAAAAGGAGTGGTCAGCCGACTGCGGCTGATTTGAACCAAGGGGTCCATTGTATGCAAATTTACCCTTTTCAATTCTGATCAGATGTACTCGACACAATATTGATTTAAGCTTCGTACAGTGAAGTTAACATGCGATAAGAACACAGACACAGCAATATAGTTTGAACTTATCAGATATACACTAATCAAGCGCAAAGAAGTACAGATTTAGGTATGTTTGCCTCGTTGTCAATCTATCGGTTCGGCTAGCATTGGCGTTACTTCCATATTCTTTTGCGCGGGTTACTAACCGTAACATTGCCGACACTGATGCCGCTCTCGTTCACTACGAAATTCAGATCGGTTATGATCCGGGCTATTAAGAGTGGAAAGAGATCATACCATGTGGAAAGATCAGCTGGAAAATCAATTCCATAAAGCACACAAACCACCTACATTAACTAACTATCCACCCATTCACCAACTAAAGATGAGAAACGCGATGACAACGCATCAGTTCGAAAATTTCTCGCTGTTGTTCAACATCCTCTAGGAATAATAATGGTTCTTATCGAATCTTTAGATTGAATACGATCCAGGTGTAGCTTAATATCAGCTGCATATTTGCTATCACGTTAAGCAACTATGACGAATTTCTTTAAAAACGTTTATTTCTCCAGTCCTCGCGAATCATCTAATTTTTCAATGAAAAACACTCTTAGAACAAATCACACAAATGCATATCATATGTCTATTGTCAGAAGAAATACTAAATTGCAAACTTACCAAGAACGGCAAACGTAAGTAACAGAAGAGTTCGCATTTTGATAGATGAGGGGAGTATGAAATTTCCTCTGCACCCGACAAGGTTTATATACCCCCGCATGCTAATTATATTAACATATTCCGACTCCCTATGATACGTTTGATTGTTTAACAGAACTGCTGAATGTGCTGGTTTATGACGTTACATTTTATTTTCACTATTCTAAGGGGTACGCTAATGTCAGACCAGTGACGAATCGATAGCGTTATCGTATGCGAAGTTACGTATTAAACTATACAGCAATTAAAACTGCGTATAAAGTTCCTGTATCTGATAACATTCTTCGTGACACACAAATAACGAGAGGGAGCCTCAAAAATACGCGAGTACTTGCAAATTCCGATTTCTCACAAGGAATCCTCTGAGAAAGCACTTTCAATAATCCAAACGTTAATAAACTGTATTGTTAGACTATTTCTCCCTAAAATATTTGAAAATAGAAAATTAAATTCGTAAACAATTGTAATTGTTATTACATTATTCGATTTAAAACAATTGTGACCAATTATCACGCAAACTACGTCATTTAAAACAAAATATTTGTCAGTGAACATAGGGGTAAAATACTATTTCATTTAAAATGATTTTGAAGATATTTCAGAACTGTGAAATTTACGTGATCAAATATACAAATATCATATCTTCCACATAACGTGTGGCGATTGAATTATAAAGAATGTTTAAAACGTACACAAATGAAATAAAATGGATATTCATGAAAATGATTATTATGACCCAAATAGACGAGGTAATAAACATATTGCCTTCAATTTAAGTTACAAAAAAGCTCCCGACCTCGTTTCAATGACACTTTGACCTCCAAAGTTTAAACGCGCATAAACGTCTGCCACGAACTTTACTTAATTACTGTCGCTGCTAACAAACCTTTGACAGGAAATTCCTTAAATTTTGCAAAATTTGTCTCAGTTACAAATTATTTTGAAAGACGTTTTATTTTCTGTTTGTCATTTATTTGAAGGAATATTTCACGCAACAAGAGTCAACAAGAATTATAGTTTTATTTTATCGTCAGCATTGCGTCGAAAAAAACATGCCAACAAACAGGCTGCTCGAGTCTGAGAGGTCTGTTTATTAGTTATCAGGTTTGGGCAACCAATCAGGCAGAATCTTGTATGTCGCTTCGCATTGACTTCGGAGCGAATACGTGACAAACCAATGGGACGCGCGCCAAGGACGACCAATGTCAAGTTGCACAATCAACATGTTCTATCTCGGATCACACGTTGACAACATGAAATTGTCACAGGCGTTCAAAAACTTGCCTACGAGTGAAACGGGGTGTCGTCACCTGCGCATGCGCGGGAATTGAGTCCCAATCGACTGTAACAACACATGCTAAAAACGTAAAGGCTCATGGATAAACGCTTGTTTTTAAACTCAGACAACTAATAAATTATTTGTTGTCTGAGTTGTGAACGCTAAGGCCATCTGACGCATGCGCAGGTGACGTCCCCGCTTAATACCGAGATTTGTGTCCGACTAGACAGAAATGAATATTTATTTAGAACTTATTTAACCTGTGGTCAGCAGATGTCACGTGATTTAAAATGTAGTTGTATCACACAATCTCCTCCTCATCTCAGGCATTTCATTAAAAAGACGCCCTTCATATACTGACAGACTCTAATAAAAAGAAAACAAAAATAACATTTCACCAAGATTGTAAAACGTTATCTTTCTATGATTACGTCACTTCTATTTTTAGTAACATGTTGTTATCATGATAAGCATTATTGCAGTATGACTGCTTTCGATTTAATACGAAAAACAAACAAATTGTATAAACGTTTTATTCTCCTGCAAAAAGCAACAAAAAACACTAGCTTAGGGTCTAGCGTGATGATTAAATTTAATAACATATGCTTGCTTTACTGTTTTAATTCTATAATTTCTATTATTTTGAGCAAGGGCAAGGTCCTGTACCGGGACATAGTCGCTCGGCCCCATAGATGTCCATGCATTGAGACAAATAGATCGTCAGGACCCTGTGTAAAAGCCGCTGATCAGATACTGAAAATAAGATAGGTGACACAGACAAATAGCTAAATCGATATATAAAGTTGTTTAATACTCTGAACTATTGAACTTTGCTAGGTGAACAATGGGGAAACTTGAGAAAAACATGAGGTAATTGGTAGGGTCAATTGAAGGCAAATTCCGACAAGCCCTGCAAGTAGTAATGTAGGCCATATCACGTACAAAATATATTGAGACGGATAAACAGTCATCCCTAGTCTTAAAAGTTTGAAACTCGTAAACATTAGGGCATTCATGAAATTATCAGGACGGTATGACCTCGTATAACCGGTGCATGACCTTGCCTTGCCCCCGTTGCGTGAATTAGATGTCCAGTTGTATGCGAACAAGTGTCAAACCGACTCGTTATCAAAATGTTATGAACATTAGTCGTGAAATAAACAAATGTACGTACAACTGCGGAAATCAAGTTTGTTATCAAAATTACTACCGGAAATGATCAGCGTTCTAATTTATGGTACGTACTGTAACTGATTTATGGTTCGCAATGCATTGTGGGCGTCACAATTGTATTTCTTTTTATTCTCAGCGCGCCAATATTGCATGTAATGAGGTTAAATATACCTTGTTATATTGCGTAAAAATTCATGTCATTCACCGTATCTTCCGACAAAGGCCACGGACACCTGTTATATCGTATACAAAATAAGTGTTTAAAGGGCGGCAGTCGTCGTGCCGCGTCCTGTTCGATATGGGACTCATAGCGACGTATACAACGCGTGTAAAATACATTGTTTACTTACATGAAATTCGAACACGCGCTGCGCGACGACCACCGCGCTTTAATAGTAATGCAATTACCTTGGGTGTCGCTAATTGGAAAGGTTTCACTGGCAGCAAATACAAATTGTCGTTGTGACTACTCGTAGCATAAATTGTAGTCAATTTGTTGCGTAATCGCCGCGCATTTATTGGTACCCTGGATTTAAAGATGCTGAATTGTTCGAGTTACAGACTTCGAGTTACCGACATCGAGTTACGAAAACATCGAGTTAC